GTCTGCTTTTGGTGTCCAATAAAAAAGTCTGATAGCCATTTACAGCATTAAATCAAGGTAAACTGCTTGCCAAAATCCAGAGTATTCCATAATGGCCTGTGTCGCACACTTCCTGATAAGTGTAATATGTGTAATTGCTGAATGCCAAAGTGAGCGTGTACGTTTTTGGTGGTTAAATAAACACCTCTTAAAGCCATGTGTGTCATCGATTTGAGTGAATCATAAAGAAGTCCTGTTTAAGTACTTGAGTACATATTGATAATGTGTCACTAATTAGATGTTTCCCAGTCATTCAGCAGATTAGAAACATTGACAGTGAATCAATATACTAATACATATATAGGCCAAACATTTTCCAAGACTGAAATGACCCCCCCCCCCCCTCCCCGGGCTAAAGCAAGACAAATGTCGATGAACAACATTATTTGACAATAAAATAGTATAACCCCAAAACATTATATTGATAATATAACACATACAACTATATTGATATTTCCTACCCCCACTTTTAGTATTTGTTTTCCCCTTTACAAGGCCATAAAAAAGCCTGTTAATTTACATTCCCATAATGCGTTGGTGGTTGTAAACACAGGAAGTTTTGCCTTACTGTTAGATTTGGGGTAAACAACTTGAGCCCCGTTACGTTAACTGACATTATGGCAAATTGTCACCATTACAAATATAAAGTATTAGCAGAGCAAGTATCCATAGTTTAGCAGATACATCACTGGACTCCTACCTGACGCTCAGGACACATATAAAGACGTAAGGAACTCCAGGTGAGTTCTTCTGCGGTTTAAAGGAACGCCTTGTTTCTTTGTTTTTTCACGGTTTGTGTAACGTTCAAAGGCAATGAAAATAGGAATAATGCAAAGCGTCTATGTGTGAATGATTTACTTTAATATAACTCCGAAAAGCTTTTTAAGTAGCCTACCTCCATGAGATGTGCGTCCTGAGCTGCTGTGCCAACTGCTTTCTCTTTTGGTATGCAGGTAAAATCTCCGTTTTTTCTTTAAACATGTAGGGATTCACTGGCAATACAACCTGAATGTATCACAATAAGGGTTTAGCTGCTACAGTATAACTGCAGTACTTTGATAGCCTATGTCATGAACTGTAGCTCATGTTAGCTAATTAGCTAATGTTAAGCTGAAGTTAGTGAGAGGTTGGATATTCGACACACATTCACTGGCCCTCTGTCTTTACCAGTTGTTTATCTTTGGGATCAAACTCCCTGCTAATGAGAGTTATTCAAGAAATATATGATATGTGTCTTAAAGGTCCCATGTCATGCTTTTCTGGTTACTACCCGTCCCCTTGTGTGTTATGTAGCTTTTTATGCATGTAAACGGTCTGCAGAGTCACAAACCCTCAAAGTACACCTGTAGCGAGTAAAACTCTAACACAGAAAAGACCTGTCTATGCTGCCCCAGAACACCTCGTTGGGGATTTCTCTTTTTCCATTCTTTACTTCTTGGGTATAGTGACGTATTTCGGGTATAGTGACGTAACGTAACTGGACCAATCTGCGGAGCCGTTACGTTACGTCCGCGGAGCCGTTACGTTTGGACCAATCCGCGGACTTCCTCACACACACACACTCGGCGGGACGTTGCGAGGCTCGCTGCTGCGAGGAGCGGGACACTGTGAGCTGGCTCACTGGTGTGGGGTCGGCGAGACAGCGAGACACCGCGGAACTCAGCCTGGGCACACACACAAACTCCCAGCCAGGCTGCGGATGTGTGTGTGTTTCGGGCTGGGTTTCGCTGTGTCTCGCTGTCTCGCAGACGGCCACTGGGCTCAGAGCAGGGGCGGACTGGCCATCTGTAGAATCTGGAGAACCACAGAACGGCCGGTCGTCAAGGGCCGCTAATGCAGTTGTGTGGTTCTTATCTGTCAAATAATCACACACGAAGAAGAAAAAAGACCGGCCACACGAAGAGAAGGATTAGGCGCCGCGGCAGACAGGGAGAATGAAAAAACATGGATTCAAATCAAAGAAAACGAAAAGAAAAAGGTGAGGCCGCGAAGGCAAGAGAAAAAATTGTGAAGTCACTCGAAGGTGAAGCATATAAATGTCGCAAATTGACAGATCTCTTTGGCAGCAGCGGTGCCACAAGCACTATCATCAGCAGCTTAGAACAAGTGCAAGATGATGAAGAGAATGATGAGGGTGCGAGTTCAGATATAAAGCCAGCCTCCTGCGTTCATGATGAGGGACAGAGAGTTGAGCTGGTGGAAGAACCAGCTCAACTGGCACATACAAGTGCAGGGCAAGAGCAAGAGGTGGGTGAGAATTATCCCTTGAACTGCATAAATGCAGCCTAATAAACATCTGATTTCTAATAACTAATAACAAATAGTAGCCTACTGTATGTTTGTGTGTTTACTGTTTTACGATGTCCCATGTGTTTAAGACATCTGAGGAGTGTCCTCCCTCTTTAGGTGAGAATTATCCCTTGAACTGCATAAATGCAGCCTAATAAACAGCTGATTTCTAATAACTAATAGTAGGCTATACTGTATTTTTTTTCTGATACTTCTGCTGTTCATTAAAAGGTCTTGCTTTTCTCCCAGTGGCTCTAAATTAATGCAATTGTAATACATTGGATGAGAAGGACATACTTATGTTAATGCATATTGATTTTTTTTAATAGCTGCCATGTCATTTTACCTAATGACTCCAAATCAATTCATCAGAGTGGTGCAGGGATGACGTATTTACCCGGAAGTAAGCTGCGCATGGGTTCCCTCGACAAAAAAGCAATGGGATTTCTCCACAGGATTTTGGAAAATAGCTCGAAATAAGGTCTGTGGAAAACGAACCTGTTTGATAAATGCACGTTTTGTTCAGCCGGATAATTTCCACATGTCTACCCTACTTTTATAATTTTCGAATCATAAATCTAATCGCCAGAAGCTAAATGCTAACGTTATGCTATAAACGAACTACAGCCGAGTACAGCAGGGTCGCACGACTTCAACGTCACGCCAACTTAAGATCCATATTCAAAAATACAGATTCAAAATTGTACAAGTTGAAGCGTTTGTTTTAACAGTTTGCAGGAGGCAGGTACTTGCTTTCAAGCAGAACAGGGGCAAACAAACTTAGCGGGAGTGTTTACGTGTTCGGTGTAATGACGTACAGCGTCCTCCACAACTTCTGTAGTCCTATACAGCCACTTGTTAACAACCATCGTTTTTCAGACACGTAAACTCTTCAAAAATCACCAGTGGGGTCACTGCTGATGTATTTAATGTCGTAGAACAAAACGTGATCCGTCTCTTAAACTTGTGTCAACCACAGACCTTATTTCCAGCTATTTTCCAAAATCCTATGGAGAAATCCCATTGACTCTGAGACGAGGGAACCCGTAGTGGTAAAATGTTAACTCACTTCCGGGTATTAGGACTCGTCACTGCACCACTCTATTGTATTACTACAGTGGGCAAAGAGGACACATCTGTTTTTATTGGATTTTAGGGCTTTTTCTATTACATATGGATGTTTTGCTTCTGGACATTCTGCAGTGTATTCATTTAAAACTCTTGTATGTTTTCATATCAGGTGACACTTGACAAGTAGGACAGACCTCTTTTATTAGATTGTATTCCTCTATCTTCTTTTACATGAATATTCTTATGAAAATGCAGCTGTTCTGTATTCAAAAGTTGTATTTATTTTCAATAACTTCCATGTAATGTGAATGAATGACTCCGAATCCATGCATCATTGTATAGCTAACTTGGACAAGTAATAGGACACACCTCTTGTATTGAATTTATATTGCTATACCATATTTCCATGCCATTTTTCTGGATGGACAGATGCTCTTTTCTTTTTCTCCCTTTGGTAAATGTAGATTGTCTTCAGCAGCAGGCTCAGCATGGTATAAAGCACTGTTGGTGGGTTTAAAAAAAATAATTACACTTTAGACACTTATTAATTGTTATTTCACTGCACCCAGCCTATCAGTGATAACATTTGCTATGAATAACAGCAGTCCAACTTCAAGCTGAAAAAAACCATAAGCCATAAGAAATGAATATGCAGTCAAACATTATCACACTATCAAATCAAGTATCCCCTAAAAATGTCATGATGATAAATGACATATAATATAAAGCAATATCCTGGAACGGCTATAGATCAGATGTGTTAAATCCTCGATTGATAACCTTTTTTAATCAAATAACATTATTGGTAAATGTGTTGCAAATAATCAGAACAAAATTGTTTTATGATCAAAAGCAGCACTTACATTTCAATAATATGTTATTATGAATATATGAACATTATAATGTTATTTGTTAAGTTATCTACCAAGGATGTTACTTATATAATTTAATTTAATTATTTAGTGAATTTCCTTTTAAGTTATTGCCGTTGAGCATTTTCAAGAAATGTAGGTGTGTATATAATTTTTGGAATGTTTGATGAGGTTTGAGTGACCATGCTATAAAGATTGGATTAGTCTAGTTACTGTCTTTTGGGTTAAAGGTAGATATTTTTTCAGGTTTTCCATGGAAAGATGACGTTAACGTTGAGGTTTCAAATGTTGTATGTAGTTGGCTTGGTCTTGTGGTCAGCTTGTTTTTTTTTAGGGGGGGGGTTATATAACCTTTTAGTATTCAATAATCGTAATTTCCACAGTTTGCTATCATTCATATTCTGTCATTGAGTTTTATTTTAATTACACAAATTGACCACATTGGATCACATTGGAATATATATATTTTTTAACTTACTGTAAAGCCATTAATTAAATAATCAAACATTTATTTTAAAGTTGTTTTAAAGTTGTTATACTTTCAACTAATGTAACTCCTCTTGTGTAATGTGAGAACATAAAACTGCTAAACATACACAGATACATAAAATGAACAGACACACCCTTTTTCGTTTTTTCTTCATTATGACATTTATTAAGCAAATGCTGAAATCGTTCATGATGAGTAAAGTCATGGGATTGCAAACAGTAGCACCTCATTTATTTCTGTATTTAAATTCAAGTCCATCCTATGCATACAAGAACGCATGAAAATGCACATTTACAGTTATATCTTTTTCAGTTGCACTCAGTGAAACATAACAGACACTGATAGAAAGCGTGTTTAAGGCTAAGGAGTTTCTTCATGTTTGTTCAACTGCTTCAGTTACTGGATGTTTATGGTCATGTGTTTATCATACCGCTGCCTGTCTCTCTCTTCTCTGTACGTTGTGTTGTTCGTTTCTTTTTGGCTCAGTTTGTGTCTTCACGTGTCAAGTAAGGCGTCGTCAGTAGAGCACTTGGGGACCCTCCCACCTACTTGCCCGCTCAACTTCAATTATATATCTCACTCTCCCACCCACGTTACATTTATTCCTTTTACATATTTACTCTTTTTACAGTGTATTTACCATACATACAGATAAGGAAGTGAAGTACTCCCCCCTCTCCTGAGCTATTGCATGCAGAGACCCCCCTCCCTCCCTCCCGTGAGCTCGCCCGTGAACTGCAGAAAGAAAGAAAAAGAGGATAAAATTCTCAGTCGCTTGCTACTGACTGCAGCAAAGCCCGTTTAAAGCTGTCACTCAACATGCATTTTTGAAATTCGTAGCATTTAACGTTTGGCTTCTCTCTATGATTTGTTTTGTATGTTTGAGAGTTGTTATCTTTATTACATCGCTCTAGCTGTATGGTTTTCTTTGTTATGTTAGTTTGGGTTGATTGCTTGTCTTCTCCACTTGCCCATCTCCGCAAGATCGCCGGTCAGGAATCCGCTTATTCGCCCTCTGTCACCTGCGTGACGGACAGGGAGGAGTGCTTCTCTGTCTTCTTGGTGGAGACCAGCACTTCCTCTTTCACCTCATCCACCTCTTCCTTCACTGTCTCGGTCACAGTGACAGATTTGGTGACGCGCTTGGATCCATCCTCTCCAGTGGTGATCGTCTCCACGGTTTTGGTGATCACTACTTTTTGGCTACCGTCGTCTTTGACCGTACTCTCGTCAACGCCGTTAGAGACCACGTCGGTTTCTTTCTCCTCGTCCTTCTTCTCCTCTGGGCTGCTCTTGTCTTCATCGCCGTTCATGGCTACATCCTTCTTTTCAACATTCTTCTCCTCTGTTAAGTCGCTCTTTTTCTCTGATTTCTCTTCGGCGGCTTTAGGGGTCTCGGGCAGGGGGGTCTTTGGGGATTTCGCTTTAGGAGATTCAGGTTTTGGAGATTCCGACTTGGGAGACTCTGCTTTTGGGGAGCTTGGTTTTGGGGATCCAGCCTTTGGTGAGCCTTCTTTGGGGGATTCAGGCTTCAGAGATGTAGGCTTGGGAATTTCAGATTTAAGGGACTCAGGTTTAGGGGTCTCAGACTTTGGGGATCCAAGTTTAGGGGTCTCAGACTTTGGGGATTCAAGTTTAGGTGTCTCAGACTTTGGGGATGCAAGTTTAGGTGTTTCAGACTTTGGGGATCCAAGTTTAGGGGTCTCAGACTTTGGGGATCCAAGTTTAGGGGTCTCAGACTTTGGGGATCCAAGTTTAGGTGTTTCAGACTTTGGGGATCCAAGTTTAGGGGTCTCAGACTTTGGGGATCCAAGTTTAGGGGTCTCAGACTTTGGGGATCCAAGTTTAGGGGACTCAGACTTTGGGGATCCAAGTTTAGGAGATTCAGACTTTGGGGATCCAAGTTTAGGGGTCTCAGACTTTGGGGATCCAAGTTTAGGAGATTCAGACTTTGGGGATCCAAGTTTAGGGGTCTCAGACTTTGGGGATCCAAGTTTAGGAGATTCAGACTTTGGGGATCCAAGTTTAGGGGATTCAGACTTTGGGGATCCAAGTTTAGGGGATTCAGACTTTGGGGATCCAAGTTTAGGGGATTCAGACTTTGGGGATCCAAGTTTAGGGGTCTCAGACTTTGGGGATCCAAGTTTAGGAGATTCAGACTTTGGGGATCCAAGTTTAGGGGTCTCAGACTTTGGGGATCCAAGTTTAGGAGATTCAGACTTTGGGGAATCAGGTTTTGATGCATCAGGTTTGGCTGCCTCTTCTTTCTTGGACTCAGGCTTTGCAGATTCTGTTTTTGAAGCGTCTGTCTTGGCTACAACTTCTTCTGATTTGTCTTCCTCTTTCTTCTCGTCTTTTTTGCTATCTTCCTTTGTGGTTTTCTCAGCATCCTCTTTATCCTCTTTCTCATCTACGCTCTTGGAGGCTTTGTCACTGCCGGCATCTTCGTCCTGTTCTCCATCTTTCTCATCGGCACCAGCTTCCTCTTCTCCTGCGCTGCCTTCTTTGTCTCCGGCCTTCTCTTGGTCAGGAGAGGCTTTAGACTCGGGCGCTTTGGAGCAGAGCACTGTCTCCTCGATTTCCTCCTCATCCTCTCCTCCATCGTCTCCTTCTACTTCATCACCTCCCTCTGCATCATCCCCCTTTACTCCTTCATCTTCCCCCTCACCATCTTCTTCCTTCTCTTCTTCTTCACCTCCCTCTCCTTCCTCATCCTCATCTTTTCCATCATCCTCTTCTTCTTCCTCCTTAGCAGGTGCGCTAGAGCTAACTTTGGCTTCGGTGGCGGCTACAACTTCCTCCTCAACGCCTTCCCCCTCCCCCTCTTCTTCCTCTCCCTCACCTCCCTCTTCCCCCTCCTCTTCGTCTCCTCCACCTCCGAGTGTAGCGGACAGCTCTTGAGCTATCTCTGCCAGGGCTTCGTCAAGGTCAGTCTTCTCATCTTCCACCCTTGTCTCCTCGATGATCTCTTCCACAAATTTGTGTTGCACCCTAAGCTTGGGAGCGTCGGATTTAGACTTAAAGACTTTTGTGGGGGTGACTGCCTGGCGATAGGGGAAAGTGCTGAAGTGAGTCTCCTCGCCTTCTAGGAGTTTCCTGGGAAGAAACAGATTTGTACAAAATTATGTAAAATGACATTAAATTGTATTTCTACTACTTTTGACATGTTAAATGCATGTCCGTATACCTGTATGCAGCAATCTCAATGTCCAATGCCATCTTGACATTGAGCAGGTCCTGGTACTCGCGCAGGTGACGTGCCATCTCCCATTTGGTGCTCTTGAGCTCATTATCCAGCTGGTGAATTGTCTCCTGAGGACAAACAGAGCAGACACAACCCAAGGTTGATGAAGTACAAACAATGACTTGCAGAGCGTCCATTTTGTAGATTCATTAATGCAGCTTTAAATATCATAATTAATGATTAATGGCAACTTTTCGATTTTTTTTCTAAATCACCTTTTATCAAAACTGTTAATTTAGCCCTAATTGTTATCTGTGCACATTTTGTGTAAACTGTGCACCAAAAACGGTTGCTTTGATATATTATGCCGCAATACAGTATTCTAGAGATGTTAAATGCCTATTTTTCAAGGACATCCTCCATACTTATTGTTAATACACCCCCACCCCTGCCCCTAAAGGGGGTGATGTAAGGACAGAGCCAATGAAAGCATCGATCCATGCCTCTGCCCTGACTCAGCATTTTACAGAGAGAGAGCGGCGAGAGAGGGGGGGGCTTGTCTGCTGCAGTGTCTCCCCTTAACCATTTCCTGGCACTAGACGGATTTTGTTAGAAAGTATGAGCTCATAGCAATCATTACGCAGCAGAAAAATGTGACACACAAGCACCTACACACGATATAGAAAATGATCAAATACGATCCTTTTTATCCAGTTTGCTACTCTTAAATCCCTTGAATAAAAACTGCGTCAATAAGCTATACACAATATTAAATATGAATAAAAATCCATCATAGATTGCAACCATACTTTTTAAGTTTATCGCACATAAATAAACAAAATAAGTTGCATATGTGCAGAAAAGCATATTTCAACGGTGTGTTCCGCTCTTTACGCACGGCTCTGTGGCTGTTTCCTACCTGAAGGCTGGACAGATCGCTGCTGTGGCGGTCCTCGATGTCATTCAGCTGCCTCTCCAGAGACTCTCTTGTCCTGCGGATGGCTTCTAACTCCACCGTCTTGGACTGGAGCTGGCGGCGGTAGTCGGATATCTCATCACGGGCGGACTTTATGGCGTCCTTGTTCTGATCTGCAGCCTCGGTGAGCTTGGAGTAGCGGCACATGAACAAGTTCTCCACCTGCTGCAGGTTCTGGTTGGAGTGACCCTCCAGCTCGCAGCGGATCTCCCGCAGAGCCTCGGTGATGTCCGTCTTCTGCAGATCCTTCCTCTCCACGGTCACCTGAGACTCCTCGATCTGGGCGATCAGCTCGCTCACCTCTTCCTCGTGGTTGTTGCGGATGAAGGCGATCTCATCCTGCAGAGATTGAACTTTCTTATCCAACTCAGACTTCACCAACTCCGACTCGCTCATGTCCTTCCTCAGGACGCGGATAATGGCTTCGGTCTCCTCCCGGATGTGAGCCTCTTCGTCATAGCGGTCCCTCAGCCGCTGGATGTCCTCCTCGACGTGGTCGGTGTCGAGCTGGATCTGCGTCTTGTCGTGGTGGATCTGCTCCAGCATGGACCGCAGATCCTGCAGCTCCTGGTCGTAGTGATCGCCCAGCTGGGAGCGGGACACCTGCTTCTGGCGCAGCGCCTGGATCTCATCCTCGATCTGCTTGTTCTGCTGCTCCAGGTAGTGCACCTTGTCGATGTAAACAACGAAGCGGTCGTTGAGCCCTTGAAGTTGCTCCTTCTCATTGGATCGCTTGAAGTCTCCGTTCATCATGGAGGTCTGGTAGTCACCGCTATCTGCGGAGCTGAGCACCGTGGAGCTGTAGGCTCGGGACACCGGCATATTCACGCTCCTCTTGTAGGACGTGGTCATGGTGGAGCCGGGGCTTGCCCGGGACCAGGACTGGGAGCGGAACCCGCTGGAGGGGGAGCTGCCGGAGCGGCTGTAGCCGTAGCCGGTCGTCCTAGTATCCATAATTCTCCTGAAGGGGCTCCCTGAAGTGTCCACCGTGTAACTCATCCAGTGATGTGCGGCGGGGATGAAGAGTGCAGGAGGTGAAGGCGTGTGTATGTGGGTGTATGTGTGTTATGTGTGTGTGTGCAGGTGAGGGGTGTATGGCTCTCAGCGTCTTTCACAACCTTCGCCGGCTCCTTATATATCTGAGGCTCTGTCATTAACAAGGCAGGTCCAAGCTGTTTTGTTTCGTCCATTGATGGAAGGGAGGGGAGGGGCCATCCCCCTCAGGCGGTCTGCGAATGGTCCTGGGCCCCGTTCATTCTGAACCACGTGGGCTGTGGGACCTGTGTGGGAGTCCGATTTAAAGACAAACAGTATCGTTAAGTTAACAATGCACCCAATGCTTCAAAGGTAAAACATTCAGAAATCTCCCCCAAAAAATCAGTTTCATTATTTAATGAATCAAGATATGCATTTTAACAAGTCTTTGCTTTTATTTCAGCACCATGGACAGCGAACAGCCACTTATTTTCTATATAAAAAAGACTTTCTCTGTTGAAATGACAGCAATATTGAAGTGAACAATGAATGCATGAATTTTAACAGACAGTTTTTCTGTGTATCTGCTGAATATTGCTGACTAAGGACTGTTGAGCCATGCTCGCCTTGTCACTTAAACTTGAGTATACACCAGCTCGATCATGTGAGTCTGTCTTTTCCATTAGAAGTGTGTTGTAGTTGTGGTTGCAGGACTTGTGTAGCCTAACATTATTTTAATAAAATAAGTGTGTAATGGTGCACACATGTTCTATACAGCATTCAAAAGTGATGAAAGAGACATAACAACAAAAAAGTTATTTCTGACTGGTATACAAATCATTTACAACTTACACATTTATTTATTTTCAATTCAAAATAACTTAAATCCATTTATTGATTCTTGAATTGACCCTTTCATGTCTAGAAACTAATTTAAATAGCAATAATTTATTCATTTTCTTGCCACATCAAAGGTCAAACATTTGTCCGACAGCCTTACGAGAGGACATTGCACATGTGGGTGTTTTAATGTGAAGATCCTTGTAATACATTGGATATGTTCTAATATATTCATATGGGAGGGGCAGTTATTGTACAGTGGATATAGCTTTACTGGTAAGTGTTAACATTTCTACTTGCACAAGCTTTCGTTGTAGAATCCTGACTCTTGTAGTTGCAAAGCCACATGGGAATTGTGGTTTTTCCGTTCATTTGCTGAGACGTAGTGAAGCGTCGGTGTGGGCCGCCCGTCTGGTGGCCAGGGTATTGATCTCCCATCAATCTCTGTGCTTCACTCTAATCTCCGGTCACTCGGTTCAATGCGAAAAACGATTACCGATTGTTGGAGGTAATGCAGCAAAAACAGCTTCATTGGTGCTTTGTGTGTGTTTTAAATTCTATAAAAATTATTAAAGCTCTCTTTAGGTGCAGCTGCACTGTATAGCTGCACCTATTGCAGTTCGTGTGATTAGTTAAGTGGCCATTATTCCACTCTGCACTTATTTCCTGGCAAAAAATAGATGAGATATAGTAAATATCAAGGTGTCACCTTCGCTAGTCGTGCTTTATCTTGTTGTAGCATTATCACATTTTGTATTAACTCTATTTCAAGTAAATGTGCTGCATTTCAAATCTGACTCAGTAAAAGTACAAAGATATACTTAAAGTGAAACATTTTAAAGTATCCATAAGCAGAAGACTATAACATATATTATTAGATTCTTATTATTGATGCATCAATGTGTTCAGCCCTATTTTGTTGCAGCTGGTAAAGTCTGAGCGTATTTTAAATACTTTTATGCTGCAAGGAGGCGTAATCTATTGCCATACATTGTTATTTATTATAGAAGTATACGCAAAAATACATAATGTAAAAGTACCTCAAAATGTAACTGAAGTACAGTGCTTGAGTAAAAGTACTTAGTTACTTCCCACCACTTGTTATGGAAAGTTACTAAGCATGTGAGTAGAGCATTTATTCTGCTTTTAAATTTGATTTAGACATCTGTGATTGATCAACTGTCTACATTTTCTTTTCCACATCATTGGCTTTCCACTGTGAGCTTTAGTCTAACAGAGCTAATGCATCAAGCGCGGCCAATTTTAGATCTTAGCTCCAGAGACAGAGAGAGAGACACAGAGAGAGAGAGAGAGAGAGAGAGAGAGAGAGAGAGAGAGAGAGAGAGAGAGACGGTCCCAATGACTTTCTCCTGTGTGTGCGTGTCTGCCTATTTTAAGAATTAATATATTTTGTAAACGCTTATACTCCAGCAGCCGCACCCACCATCTCCTCGCCTGCTGACGTTACACTATCCTTGACCGCTGCTCGCTGACTTCCTCTGGGCAGGCCTCTCTTCTTTTTTTTAGACGCATATATTTAATTGTTGGCCTGTTAACTCGAGGTGCTTTTGGATGCCCCTACAGTACGAGGGTGGCGGTGGTGTGATGTGCACGTCGGAGTGATGTGTGGGTTGGGCAAAAACTGGGGAGTCATTCAAATCAGTTCTGGGCCCCGGCACACTGCAGAAGGGTTGGAGCGTTTTCAAATGGCACTGCAGCAGAAAGAGGCTCTAGAAGAAGCAGACGAGCCCATCCCAATCACTGCCACCCAGCTTCAGACCCACAGAGAGTGCATTCCTAGTCCAATGAGGTCACGCCGGGGCATCTTTAGGTGACATAGTGCAGGGCTGCAAGGGCAGTTTGATATACTGTTGACTGGCACTTAATAGCATCATTGCAATGTTAGCTGGATCATGAAGCATACATATGACAGATCAAGCACATATTCTATAAGCAGACATCGATAATCAACAGTCAGTACTCTCAAAAAGGCTACATAGAATTTCAGTAATGCTGAGGGCATGGGTTCCCCCAGAAGTGTTCTAAATAATTTTGGAATATTCTAATTTTCAAAACATTCTGGTGGACAAATATTTAAATTCTTATCTGTTGATTTGGCTAGACTAAAAAATAAATAAAATCTAATATAATGCCTCTTCCTATTAGCTGAATAAATACCCATAATGTACATTTCCACAGGTTTTCTAAACATGACCTCAGTGTCACAGGTGGCAATGGACGTAAATAGCATTTCCTCCTATTTAAAGTGAGACTACATCACTTTTTCTAACCAGCAACCTCTGTGACCTTAAGTGACCCCTAGAGGACAACAGTAAATACTCCAACAAAGGTCGAAAATAATCACAAACTGACTTAGTAATGTATCGGTGGTATACACAGGTGTAAGTGCAATTTGTTTTTGTTTGAATAACTACCTATGTTAGAGAATTAGGGTGCGTGTCAAACAACTAACATGGCTGCCATCTGCACAGCTGGCCCTTTTAATATTCATGATGAAGACCAGAGATTGTCATGCATCAGTGAAGAGGAGAAATAGACATAGAGAAAAGAAGCAGAACCTTAATTAAGATGTATGTTGATGATGCTCAGCTGAGTGAAGCTAAAGGATGAGTCATGGTCCAAATTGTGATTGCTACACATATGCAATGTTACTTCAAATGTAAAAAAAAAAAAGGTTTCCTGTATTGCAGCAGTATATTGACGTATTTAAACAAATGAGACATGGAGAAAAAGACACACTCACCAATGTGTCTGCTACTTCAGCACCACGGACAGCGATATATAGATTTATCATTACATGGCACAATTAGCCTACTGATGGTCGGGGCCATGGATTCTAACTTGCATAAACTTCAGTCGGATCAATGATATGGGCAGACTAACATATACAACCTCTTTGCACCTGCTCTCTCCTAAGGGACTGAGAGGTTAGCCGTGTGTGTGTGTGTGTGTGTGTGTGTGTGTGTGTGTGTGTGTGTGTGTGTGTGTGTGTGTGTGTGTGTGTGTGTGTGTGTGTGTGTGTGTGTGTGTGTGTGTGTGTGTGTGTGTGTGTGTGTGTGGTGTGTGTGTGTGTGTGTGTGTGTGTGTGTGTGTGTGTGTGTGTGTGTGTGTGTGTGTGTGTGTGTGTGTGTGCCTTTTTTAATGTCTTTTATTTGATTGATTACTTTGACCTTTACCTACAGTATATCCTCACTGTTTTTACTTAAGAATGAATTTATTTCTTATCCACCTTGTCCTTATCTTTCATGCTATCCCGTCCTCTTCTTTCCATCTGTCCTCAGCTCCCGTCTGACTCCCTCCCCCCCTCCTTCCCTCCTGCCTCCTCCCTCCTCTGTATTTCCTCCCTCACCCTGTCTGGCTCCCAGTCACCATTTATCTTCTCTTGTTCACCACAATAACATGATCCCTTTCCCCGCCCCTCTACACCACTAGCATCCATCTGCTACTCCTAGCATCACATTCCTTCAGTTAACCACAAGCTGTTGTCACGGAGATGTCCTTCACAGGAAACAGTGCTTAAACACCAAGGTCGTAACACGTCCTGAAAGCATTAGAGTTGACGCTAAGTTAGCATTATGTTTCTGAATCTTTTTCTATAACAGATTTTGTACCCGTTTGCTTTGGTGTGTGCACGCGTTTGTGCATGTGCGTGCACTTCGGGAGCTTGACGGTGAAGGATTTAGATTAGTGCATGTTCAGCTCCCACTTGAGGTCCGTTGTATATTGATTTAACTTTTCATTCCCAGAGGCTTTCACAGCTCTGCTGAGGCACACGTTAGCCAGGACAATCTCTTTTGCAGGTTGTCACATGACACTGAACCTGCAGAAACTAAAGAGTATAATGCCTATGTAAAAATAGCGTGTATGTATATCTACAGTAGGAGTATTGGATGTATGGGAATCCAAGCTTATTATACCAGTTATCATGATTGATTACAAACTTAGGTTGTACAGCCAAGCATTGGTCAAATCCCAATAACTTTCAAGCTTTAGTTTATATCCAAAAATGTCACAATCTACAACATTTGTCATTCATATAAATCCAATGAGAAGACCCAAACCAAGAAAGTGCAAGAAATGTTATATTTCTCAGTAGTGGAAAGTACACAACCTACATTAACATGTACTCGAGTACTGTAATCATGTACATTTTCAGGTAATTAACTTGCCTTTTAACTTTTCACTGCATTCAAATAATCTAAAATCTAAATCTAAAACAAGTTACTTCACAGATAAGTCATGTTATATAGAA